TAACCATTGCTGGAAGATATGGGCTAGAATCCATATCTTCTGACCTCACTCACATGCTGTTTGTACTGCCTAATGCTTTATAAATTGCAAATTCATTTCAGTACCTTCAACCAATCCTGGGGGGGCGGGGAGATTCTATAGAAGAATTATGAAATACATCCTTTCAAATGAAGTTTCAAATCAGTAGTTTTTTAATTGATGCTAATTTTGAATGATTACTACTTTGCACTCTGCTCAGTTGTTCAGGCATGTCCAACTCTTTTCGACTCCAGGGATTGTAGCCTGCCAGGCTCCTCTGTCCATGGTGATCCTCCAGGCAAAAATATTGGAGTGGGTTGCCATGCTCTTCTCCAGGGGATCTTCCCAACCCAGGGATTGAACCCCGGTCTCCTGCACTGCAAGAGGATTCTTTACCGTCTGAGCCACCAGGGAAACCCAATTACTACTTTAAGTAAGATGAAAAGATTTGTACATCGGAAAAGTGGGGCAAATTATTACCTTAGTATTATCTTCCTGATAATTTAGCAGGAGCCTTATAGAATGAAATCACCTAGCCAAATAGGACATTCTTCTAGCTGCCCTAGCTCTGAGGTAGCTTTGAATAAAATAAACTTTCAGGAACAGATAGAATTAAAAGTCTCCCCAGAAATTTCAGTGTTGATCCACCCTCTCCTTCATACTGAATGAAAGGACAGGTTCTAGAATGTGCTGAGACTTTGAAAATCCACACCAGATTTTTACTTCCTCTCTGGCACAGTTCCCCTGATTCGGAAAACTCTTAATAGCTAATGGTTGGGAAGGTTTTTATATCCTAATTTCATAGTCCTATTTCCCAGAGGAGAAGCTTTAGTACTTCCTATTCTTAGAAAAACAAGACAAATTGTTTGTTCCCAAGAGACTTCTTGGGACCATAGGACAGCTTTCATTTTAAGAGTAGTTTCTATAGACATTACTTTTGAAACTCAATATCGCTGTCAATTTATGTTTCAGCAATATCATAAAGTATTTGCTTCATTTCCAAATGCTGTATTCATTTTTATTAGGCAGACCAAGGACAATCAGACCAAGGTCCATCACCAATGGACCAAGGACCATTCATTAGGATAATGAATATTTTTTTTTCTACTTAAAGAATAAGTAGTTGCAAGCAATGAAAAGAATGCTTATTAATTAACATATCAGAACTATTTCCTTAGTGTTCACTATGTCCCCAGCTTTGTTGTATCACTTTAAGGAGCACTAGAGAAATACAAAATACAGTCTCTGATTTTCTAAAATGCCCCCACCCATTGTTGGAAAGGATGAAAAGAAACATGCTCTCATATCCTGCAGGTGGGAATATAAACTGTTACAATCTTTTTCTGGAGGGCAGTTAAACACTAGACAAAAATACCGTGAAATGTGCATATCTTTGATCAAGCAATTTCTCTTCTATGAATTTAATTCCAAGGAGTAAGAACAAAACATTAGCTAGGGTATTACAGGATTCTGGCAAATAATTGGAAATTCCCTAAATATCTAGTGATGAGTTTATGAAAATGACAACTTCTAAAAGAAGAGTTTTTGATATGGATAGGTGTTCACAATATGTTAATCAATAAAAAATTACAAACACTATATACAATATGAACTCATGAAAAAATAAATAGGAAAAATCTAGAAGGAAATACAACAGGAGGACGAAAGTGTTTATTGCAGAGTGGAATGATTTTGGTGCTTTCTTTTATTTCTTTACTTTTTAATGATGAATGTATTGTTTTTAAAGTGTGGAATGATTATGATACTTTCTTTTATTTCTTTACCTTTTAATGAAAAATGTGTTGTTTTTAATTGGCAATTTAAATGAATGAACTAAATCAATATTTATGAAGATAAATCTCTAAGGCACAATGTTGAAGATAACACACAAAGCATATATTAATAAAAATAAAGTTCATTTTAATTTAGAAAAGGATCTCTGTGTTGATGAGAAAGAAACTGTTGAGAGAAGGCAAAGACACATGAAATAATCAGCAAACAATGAAATATTCATCTCTGAAACAGATGGTAAGTACAATAGGAGTTATGAGAAGAGAGAAATGTCTAGGGTTGGAGCAGGTTAAGATGACTTCGTGGAAAAAGTGAGATTTAGCTGGAATCTGAATCTGAATGTCAAGGGGAGAGGCAGAGAGACATTAATATAAGGTGAGGCAAGAGCCTCGCAGGGCCATCCTCGATACAGCTCACCTCTATGACCTCTATGACTGAATAGATATAACAGCTGTAGAACACTTGATCTCTGCCTGGAAGGCTGTTTCTGCTTCTCTCATACAAGTGGGATGTACATGCCTTGTATAATATAAATATATAGTCAATGGGGTATTACATATCCTTTGTAACATATATTTTTGAAGTTACACTAGATATTTTTTAAGAATAGCCCTTTGGGGGAGGGGTCATTTTATCTGGAAAATCTGTAGAACTGGACTTTCCCAGATATTTGCCTAGAACAAACATCAACTATGCTGCAAGAGCGGTTATCATAACCTGCCCCCCTTGTACGTGTTCTGACGTCCACAATCAGACCACAAATGAATTCAACCAATTGGAACTCAGCAATTCTCTGATTACACATGTTACAGAGTGCAATTTTTAAGCCACCAGTTCAATAACTTAACTACCACTACTAGTATTAGCTACACATACTAACTAAAAGAGTGAATGAATTGTCTTTAGCGTCTAATAACAAACTAAAAAGTTATGCCCATCTCAAAAATGTCTGCAATGGGAAAGAACAGGCCAGACCATGAACGTCCATCCAGTATTCTTTTAGTGTGGAAGTACTGCCAGATCTAGAGTTGCCCTACAGTGGAGGAAAAGGTATTCCAAATGGGGGGATGGTAAAACAAATATATCAAGCAGAAAGAAGCAGGTCATTTTTAGTAAACAATGGGGAAAATGGTTTTACTAGCACTGAAGTGGTCTATCTAGGAAGAGTGAGACGAAAGAAAGATGGAGTATGAAAGCCCTTGGAGACCGACCAAGCAGTAGGTTTAGGAAACAATTCTGTAGAGGGAATGATCAAGTCCATTCTTGACTATACCAGCCATGTCCCCAACTCTGAGCCTTTACAGTTACCCTTCTCTTTGTCTGGAATGTCATGTCCCCCATCTCTGTCTGTCCTTCTGTTTGTTACAGTTCAAATGTCTCCTCCTTTATCCCCAGTTCCTCTGGAAAATGTTATTGGCTGCAACTATGTGGTCCCCAAAACTTTCCACGTCGGTACTGGTACATTTTGTGCATGTGTCTGACTCCTCCATAAGGTCATGGATTCCTCAAAGGGCAGAGACTGTATCTTATTCACATATGCATTTTCTCCAGCACCTTGCATGGCATCTTGTACCTACAGAAGTTCAGCAATGTTTGTCAAATTAAAAGATGAGAGATATTATTAAGAAACATCTGGCAACACTTTGAAAACTAGGTTAGAGTAACGGAAACAACTAGGGGAGCACTGGTTGTATTAATCCATGTATGAAGTGATGAGGAATCAGAAGGGAGGGGAAGTAAAATGCATTTGGAAAAAACTGAAAGGCACAGTTAACAGAGTGGACAAAGGCATGAAGGAGAGAAAGAGTCCAAATAACCCCAGGGTGTCTAGGCTGGAAGAATGCTGAGAGCAAATAACTGATAGATATCATTGCTACATCAACAGATAGATACTGAGCGCCTCTCAAGTTCAAGGTACTGTGCTGAGTGACAGGGAGGTCACAGGGAAGAGTAAGAGCCATTCTATGCCCTAGGAAGTCAAATCATGTAATTTTATCAAAAGCAATTTAGATTCCCTTAGTATTATATTTTTTATCATTTAACCCCTTTTTTTCCTTGATAATTCATTTAGGGGATTGATGAGTGAGTTAAGAAATGACTATCTCCTTTGCTGCCTCATGGTCATATTTGTATGATTCTTTGAGCTGCTTGGGAAAAGTCATTTGAAAAATATGTCATGGAAAAACAAACAAAGCCAACAGATGAATAGCTGATCACTAGAACATTTGTTCAGTTATGTGCTTTGAGGCAAGGCTATGCCAAAGAACATGACATCACCAAAGTGCTGTCACTGATTTTCATCAGTCATGCTTTTCAAATGTCTCTAATTGTCCCTGCTTCACTGTTCTTTTTGCTACCATTCCTCTCAAGATTTTCATCATCTCAAAGTAGTTTTGCAAAAGTTTGTAGGTTTATCTTCCCCTACTTTCTCTCTTCTTCCTTTGGAACATCGTGCATAATATGCCCCCCATTACAATGTTTTTATTTGAAAAACACATGCTACAAAACATCAAGTACTGTATGATTCTGATTTTGTTGAAAACAGAAAACCCCAACCCACAAACATACATACATACATTTATATCCATTGCATCACGTATATATATATCAACTGTATTTGTTTCCTGTTGCTACTGTAACAAATTGCCATAAACTCAGTGTGGCTCAGACGATAAAGCATCTGCCTACAATGCAGGAGACCTGGGTTCAATCCCTGGGTCAGGAAGATCTCCTGGAGAAGGAAATGGTAACCCACTCCAGTATTCTTGCCTGGAAAATCCCATGAATGGAGGAGCCTGGTGGGCTACAGTCCAAGGGGTCGCAAAGAGTCGGACACAACTGAACGACTTCACTTTCACTCTTCACTTTCACTTTCAGTTACTTAAAACAACACAAAGATATTATTTTACAAATCTGGAGCTCAGAAGTCCAAAATCAGTCTCAGCTGGCTAAAATCAAGGTGTGGACAGAACTGCATTCCTTCTGAAAGTCTTGGGGAGAATCTGTTTCTTAGCCTTTTCTAGTTTGAAGAGGCTACCTAGACTCCTTAGCTCGTGGGCCCATCCTCCATCTTCAAAGCCAGCAGAACAGCATCTTCTCCCTCCGTCTCCGACTGCCCCCGCTGCCCCCGTCTCATAAGCGCCATTGTGATTACATCGAGCCCACCCAGATAACTCAGAACCATCCTTCCATCTCAAGATCCTTAACTTCATAACATCTGCAAATCCTCTGTGCCATGTAAAGTAACATATTCACAAATTCTGGGAACTGGGATGTGGATGTCTTTGGAGGGGAGGGGCATGGTTCTGTCTAACCCACATGTTAACAGGTTGATTATCTCTAGATTAAGAACTTCAAGTGATTTTAGTTTGTACTTCTTTGTGTTTGATTACTCTGCCCAGTTCTCAAAAATGACCTTGCATTACTTTTTATTCATAGAGAATGATTGACCAAAAGAACTGTAAACGTCATTGTACAGGACATTTGCCATTTCCTGCTCTGTCCTCGTCCCTTCTTCTGGAGATAGGATGTTTCTTTGGGAACTACGCCTCCCAATGCAGTCTCCAACTCAACTGTGGAGTTCTAAGGACTGTTGCCAATCGTGGTACCTGGTTACCTGGGTTACAGGTGAGAGCATGTGATCCCACTGGGATAAACAGAGGCAGGCATTTCCAGTGTTTTTTCCCCTTCTTCTTCTTTTTTTTTTACCTAGAATTAGAAGAGTAAGAATTAGAATTAGAAGGAAAAGTCAATTCTTCTCTGTTGGGAAAGGCAAACCAGAAAATGTTGGTGACTATGAAATCTAATATCACAGAAGCATGAGAGGAAAACAGATCTGAGGCAAACAGAGTGGGAGAATCTTAATGGTCTTTGCATGCAAGGTCTGAGGACCAGCAAGCTATATTCCTCTCCTTATCTAGGCTTAGATGTATAAATCAATAGATTTCTCTTTCTGCCAAAACAGGCAGTTTCTATCATTCGGGCTGTTTCTATCATTTGCAACAAGAGTTGGGTTAAAATAGTTAAAATAGTTTCTAAGCCTTCAACAATCCCCTGCTGCCTGCTACTGTCTCAAATTAGCTCCTCTGACTGACTTCAAAGCTGTTCACCAATCCCCTCCTTCTCTGCCCCCACTTCTCAACACTGCTTCGCTCTGACTGCCCTTCTCATCTTCCCTTCCTCACTTTATGGTGTTTGCTTTCGTGGCTTTGCTCTTGTTCTCCTTGTCTGTACTATTTTCACCTCCCCTCCTTATCTATCCAATCCTGTCCAATCTTCCAAGCTACTTCTAGGACAGTCCATGAAATAACCCCCAAATCAGCCAGCAGAGACTCCCTTCTCTGGATGTTTATAGTATGCAAGGTCTGCACCATGCATTCAACACCTGTGTCCACTTTTAATGGTTCAGGGTAACTCCAAATAAATGATAAAACCCATGAAGACAAGAGCTATCCATGTTGTACAATTAGAGCTAGCTGGTCATGTTAGTTGATGAAAAAGTGAAAGTGAAGTTGCTCAGTCGTGTCCGACTCTTTGCGACCCCGTGGACTGTAGCCTACCAGGTTCCTCTGTCCATGGGATTTTCCAGACAAGAATACTGGAGTGGGTTACCATTTCCTTCTCCAGGAGCTCTTCCCAACCCAGGGATTGAACCCAGGTCTCCCAAATTGTAGGCAGACGCTTTACCGTCTGAGCCACCAGGGAACTTCCTAGTTGATGAAATTACACGTTAAGCCAGAACTCAGCAATATCAAGCTACAGTCCTTCTTGGAAGAAAGCACAGTGGACACAGTGAATATTTATAAGTTAAGTACAGTCTGGAACCAGAGAAGGCAATGGCAACCCACTCCAGTGTTCTTGCCTGGAGAATCCCAGGGACGGGGAGCCTGGTGGGCTGCTGTTTGTGCGGGTCACACAGAGTCGGACACGACTGAAGTGACTTAGCAGCAGCAGCATAGTCTGGTACATCAGAGGACAGTTTCATGATGTTAAGTTGCCACCCTTATGTTGTGTGTTTTCTCATCTTTTTCACGAAGATTATTTAAGAAGGGGAAGTAAGATCTGACGGGAAAAAATGAAGAAGACAGACTCATTTAGCCATGAGAAAACATAAAAATGGAAGCAAACCTAACAGCCATCTTAACATTTATGAAAATTTTCTATACAAAAGGTAGGGTTTTCCTCTCTTGGAGTTAAGATTGAGGTAGGGACTAAGGATATAATCCTCTAATGAAATTAAGGTGTGCCTAGATAGACTTTTCACCATAAGGGTATCAAACAATGAAATGAATTCTGAACTTTGTATAATGTGGGGCTTCGCCAGTGGCTCAGTGGTAAAGAATCTGCCTGCAATGCAGGAGCTGCAGGAGCTGCTGGTTTGATCTCTAGGTCGGGAAGAGTCCCTGGAGGAGGAAATGGCAACCCATTACAGTATTCTCGCCTGGAAAATTAAGTGGACCAAGCAGACGGGTGGGCCACAGTACACGTGGTCACCAAGAGTTGGAGGTGACTGAACACACAGATAGATTTTTCACCACAAGGATGCCAAACAATGAATTCTGAACTTTGTATAATGTATTTCTAAAGGTGAGGAGTTGAAAAAGATGAGCATAAAATTTTTTTAAACACCAGGAAAATCCTCTAAGGGTCATAGTCTCATTGAAAATAAATTAAACTTGAGGACTTCCCTGGAGGTCCAGTGGAAGAATCTGCCTGCCAATACAGGGGACATGGGTTCGACCCCTGGTCTAGGAAGATTCACATGCCGTGGGTCAACTAAGCCTGTGTGCTGCAAAAACTGGGCCCACGCTCTAGAACTCAGGTGCTGCAACTACTGAAGCCCATGTGCCTACAGCCTGTGTGCCCAGGGCCTGTGCTCCCCAACAAGAGAAGTCACTGCAATGAGAAGCCCACACACCATAAGGAAGAGTAGCCCCCACTCGCTGCAACGAGAGAAAGCCCGCACAGCAACAAAAACCCAGGGCAGCCAAAAACAAATTAATTAAAAAATAAATAATTAAAATACTATTTTAAAAAAATTTAAATAAAGGTTTGAAGCCATGAACCAATATTAGAGAGAATACCTAACTGTCCTCCATAAGTAACTGAAAGCACTTGTAACAAATTTCATCTTTCCTTTTCTATCTCAGGAATCCATTTTGGCCTGAATTTTGAGTGGAAAAAAAAAAGCCATATTGGCATCAATGCTTTCCATCATGAATAGAAGGTAGTTCTTAATAGTATTTTCATTCACTGTTCTTGTCGTTACACTGTATTTTAGAAGTTGAACAAACAATGGGGATGCCACTCTTCCAGACATAATTCCTTTCCAAACCGTTTCTCTTACAGACCAGTGCAGAAGTTGGACACTAAATATTATTGAAGGCAAGAAAAGTGTTTGTGGTGGGGACTTCCCTGGTGGTCCAGGGACTAAGACTCTGCCCTCTCAATGCAGGGGGACCCAAGTTCAATCCCTGGTTGAAGAACTAGATCCCCAACATGCTCCAACTAACCACCCAGGTGGTGCCAGTAGTAAAGAACACGCCTGCCAATGCAGGAGATGCAAGAGATGTGGGTTTGATCCCTGGGTCAGGAAGACTTCCTGGAGGAGGGCACAGCAGCCCAGTCCAGCGTTCTTGCCCGGAGGATTCCATGGGCAGAGGAGCCTGGCGGGCTACAGTCCACGGGGTCGCAAAGAGTCACACGTGACTGAAGTGACTTAGCACTCCAGCACACAGGAGAGCATAACAGGGAATGTGCTCAGGGAATGAATGCTGTCTGACCTCAGGGAACGAATAAGATGAATGAGAGGAAGGAAATGGTTATTTGAATAAATAGGGAAGGTTTGAGCAATGATATAGGCTGTATATTTAAATGCATACCAGTGCCCCAAACGCTGCATATGTATTTTGAAATCACATTCGCAGATGAACACTTAGTTCTTCTGTGAGCTTCACCACAGTAATCAAAACTGGGCTTTTTCTAAAGAATACCAGTTGTTGGCGAAAGGGACTGCTACCCTTTTTCAGTGGGGGACAGAGGTGTAGCTTCCTTTCTGTGCTTTTTGGCAGTCATAGTCCATTGTTCTGGCTCTAAATCTCCATTCTCAAACTAACATGCAAAAGATATCACATTTATTTGTTTTCTTGGATTAATTTTGACTTGGATACTCCCCTCCGCTAGGTAAGAAATGCAGCCTCAGTTATTCCTGGGGTTCCTCTCCCCTGCAGTTCCTGACACCCTGCCAGGGAAGCACAGAGGCCTCACACAGCCTCCAAGCCATGGAGAGGTCCCTTCTGTCATCCACGCACGTTGGGTTCTGTGGAGGCTCCCACTGCTTTAGTTCCAAGTCCCTCAGGCTTAGGATTCTGTGGGTTTCACTCAGTCCTCGGGTACTTGAGTGTTGGCTGATCTGGAAATATGTAGTCATATCCTCAGGTTACTCAAAGGGGAAAGAGGGCAGGGTGCACAGACATATCTCATTTTCCTCAGGGAAAATACCCTTTTCCCTCAGAGGCAAACCCAGTTAGTTCTCTTTTCCTTCAGGAAATTAATATCAAGAAAAGGAAGTACCTTGCAGACAGCTTCCTGCTTTCCTCCTTATGACGCGTGAATATTCCCTCCAGGCAAAGAAGCAGGGGCCTACTACTTTCCTGAATTTAGGATGTAAAAAGAGGAAAACAATCAAGGATTGAGTATACACAACTGTCAGATTGCCCAATACACGTCAGATTGCCCAAGCTTACTTAGCTGACTGAGAATTTTTTGCCTGAAGCCTTCAGGCAAAAGGGCCAATCACTAGAAAGCTTCTTGGTATCTCCCCTCTTCTAGAAATTCAATCAGAAATTCTGAATGAGGAGGAAAAGTTGAAGATCAGAGAAGTGAGGAAAATGCATGCATGGAATCATTTCCATAGTTCACGTCTACTCATACAAGATTAATTCCAGTAGGAAAAATGTTAGAATCATGAGCACTTATAGGTCAATAGATAAACTTAGGATATTTCAAAAGTGATTTTGTCCTTTGAGAGCCTGATTCTCCCTTAAAAATGTTGAAGTGAAGTGAAAGTATAAGTCACTCAGTCATGTCCAACTCTTTGAAACCCCATGAGCTGTAGCCTGCCAGGCTCCTCTGCCCATGGAATTCTCCAGGCAAGAATACTGGAGTGGGTAACCATTTCCTTCTCCAGTTAAAAATGTTGATGAGAAGCTAATTTAAAGAGTTACATTGTAAGAAGAATCACCATGAGATTGTAGGAAGTCCTTTCACATTCTGTTTAACTCATTCATTGATTTTTTTTTCTCTAAATTAATTTGGTAAACAGGAAGGCAAGTCACTAGCAGTAGTTTCTTCACTAATATATTTGCAGCCTCTATGGTAACTTTGGCTGTATAATTACTGTTTTTCTTTTTAATAGAAACACAAGAGTTGACAAAGGGAAACATAGGAATCTCATTTTGTCTAAAGATTTCATATCTCTGATCCTCTGCTCCAGTTATGTCCAACTCTTTGAAACCCCATGAGCTGTAGCCTGCCAGGCTCCTCTGCCCATGGAATTCTCCAGGCAAGAATACTGGAGTGGGTAACCATTTCCTTCTCCAGTTAAAAATGTCGATGAGAAGCTAATTTAGAGAGTTACATTGTAAGAAGAATCACCATGAGATTGTAGGAAGTCCTTTCACATTCTGTTTAACTCATTCATTGATTTTTTTTTCCTCTAAATTAATTTGGTAAACAGGAAGGCAAGTCACTAGCAGTAGTTTCTTCACTGATATATTTGCAGCCTCTATGGTAACTTTGGCTGTATAATTACTGTTTTTCTTTTTAATAGAAACACAAGAGTTGACAAAGGGAAACATAGGAATCTCATTTTGTCTAAAGATTTCATATTCTCTGATCCTCTGCTCCAGTTTTGGATACATTTATGTCTGTGATAGCAATGCTAAGTACAAGTTATAATTAGAATATCATGGTAATGTAGAATGAGTAGTGTGTGTGTGTGTGTGTGTGTGTGTGTGTGTGTGTATATACACACATATACTCTAGAGATTCTTTGCTGTTACCACAACAAATAGTGGGAAATCACAAGGGCCTCTTATGCATTTTTCTATTTGAAGGGCTATCCATGTAGAATATTTGTGAAAACTCTAAGTGAAAGATTTTTTTCCTAAATATTTTTTACCATCTTTCCTATTTATATTTTATGCTTTGACTTGTGTAACAGACACTTTCTTTCCTTTAATTATTGTCCAAAGGGACCTTTAATTAAATATCAATGTTTGTTTAGAATGTCCCTTAGCTAGATCATAATTCCTTTAATTTATTCTAGAGGAAGACATATGTACATCTGCCATTGATTATCCATGTCTGTGTATCATGGTTTATAGAATCAGGGACATTAAAACTGTATGTACAGAAGGCCAACAGAAAAGTTTTCAGCTCAGTGTAATGTGAGGATGTGTGTCTGTCTCTTTGTTTAAGGCTCTAGGAAGTAGGGAGAAAAATCTTTTCCCTCCAGCATTCTCTAAGCAGGAGAGCAACTGAAAAACATGTCACCTTCATGCAGATTTTATCACGTAAAAATGTGTACTCCTAGAGTGTCGTATAGAACAAAGAATTATCATGGATGATTCCATCTGAATTTCTGGCATTGCCTAACCTTCTCTGGGGGCTTCTCCAATGGCTCAGCAGGAAAAAATCCACCTGAAATCAGGAGACACAGGAGATTCAGGTTCAATCCCTGGGTTGGGAAGATCCCCTGAGGGAGGAGATGGCAATCCACTCTAGTATTTTTGCCTGGAAAATTCCATGGACAGAGGAGCCTGGCGGGCTACAGTCCATGGGGTCACAGAGAGTCGAACACAACTGTGTGACTAAGCACGCAACCTTCTCTCGCTCTAATCCATGTCTACCCTAGACCTGAGCATTCATTCGGGAAAAACTTATTGAGGGCTTACTATGTATTGGTATATTCCTAGAGACACAGAAGCAAAGGCAGCCTAGGACTGAGAAGCGAAGTTGTCTCTGAGACTGGTCAGGATGAGAGCTTAGCTCTGCCGCTTCGCTGGGCCTGAGGAGTAGGGGCAGGGGGCGCAGAGTTGCAGACCAAGCATCTAGTGCAGAGTAGGTTCTCGGAGGATGAGCCCAGCAAAGGTGGTGGTGGGAACCTGTTCATCAGTCTCCCGAGAGTAACAACTGTGTAGTCATGAAGAGTGATGAACAGAATCCCAGGGAGGCGGTCAGCAGAACAGAGACCTGGAAACAGATTGCACAGCTATGGGTCTAGAGTTCGAGGCACTGTTCTAGTTCCAAGAAAGACAAGAGCAAGATAGATCCCAGACCTAGAATAACTAGAGTGGGAACTACAGAAAATACTGCTGCTTGCCACCAAAAAACTTCCCTCCCAGGCACTCAGGAGGTAGCCATATAATCCAATTCCAAAGCAAGACATATTATGGGATATCTGTTGGGACAGGTTTTGGGGAATTATTTTGCCTTCCTGATAATTAGGGCTAAGCATTACTGGCAAGAACCTTATCTTCCTTTTGTTTTCCAGCCTTGAATACAAGCATGCTGCATGCTACATCAGTATATAATGATCAAAGGCAATATGCTAAGGATGGTGGAACAAGAAGAGAGAAACACGTTGAGTCTTTGATATTGTATAGCCACAGTTCCAGCCTCAGATGTCCTGCCTCCAGATTTATTGTAATTAAAACAAACAAAAACAGATAAACAAAATATACTTTTCTTGATTAAACTGTTGGGATTTTTATTGCTTACGCATTTTGAACTGAAATACACACAGTAAAACATATTCTGGACTGAAACAGAAACCAAGGTGAACACACTATGAAAAAATAAGTGGTGGAGGTGAATATTTAGCTATTGAGAGAGAGGTAAGTAATGGGAAATAGTACACAGGGAACAAAGTCAAAACTCAGCGATTAGAACCAGGAAATGTGTTCAGACAGAGCATAACTGACTGAACGTTGATTTTCAGGTTTCTTGAATATCCTACAGCCAGAGGCAGAATTGGACTCAGAACCTAGAAGGAGGGGGGACAAGAGATGTAGATTAGGGCATGGAGATCTTTGGGGAGCAAGGAAGACAGAAAGCATCAAAGTCTATGTCCTTCATTGTTAAATTCCTCTTAAAATTTCATTCTATTGTTTAAAAACTTTAAGATAATGTCTTTCATCATATAAACCAAAAAACCACTATTTTACCAAGGTTCCTCTTAGAAAATCATGAAGTTTATTCCCGTGTTGATAAGTTGGTTAAAATGTCTATTAATGTCATTGATCTTAATTACAAAAAATGAGAGTCAAAAGATCTCCTAGAACTAATACCTATGAAGCCTGTCTTATAGGATGAACACCTATGAAGACTTTATTTCAGTATAAAAATATACCAATTATATAAATGTAGTATTGTATTAGTCATTGAGATGAGTCACATTTAAAGATGTTTAAAATTTTTATTATTAAAAAGTAGGAATAGAGAAGGTATAAGTTGTAGGAAAGTTAAGCTCGTTGCCAAAATACATAATTAAATTCTAACTGGAATCAGAGAAAACATTTTGGGAATCCATGATCTATATCTGAGGGTCTTGGGGAAAAGAAGGGAAGGGATAAACGCAGGGTTGAAAAGTGAGGATATAGCCATTCTTGAGGGAGCAAGGAACTGTGTTCTAGGAGACAGAGGGCCCCTGAGTTCAGACTGGGCGCCCTCCTAGACATTCATGGTAAGAATAAGACTCTTGCTCCTCTGCTCCTATTATCTTCTGGGAATAGAATTCCAAGAGCTAGAGTATAGCATCCTTCCCCAAGAAAGCAAAAAGCCATTTCAGGGGGAAGAAAGTAGTCATAGTTGACATCTCCCTACTGGGCCCTTTTACAGGTAAAGCAGAGAAGCAGCATCTCAGGTGAGGCCCAGTGTTTGGTAGGGCAGCAGGAGGCATAAAGTTTACTGAAGTCAGTTAAGGTATAGATTGTATATAGCAGTGGTTTAGAGTCTAACTGTGGGTCGGGGCAGATGTCCATTCACCTGAGTTTGAATATTCCTGATGTCAAAGTTTCAGACCCACTGAAAGAAAGCACTGGTCCACTAGGTTACATGTCACAGCATCTTGAAAGAGTTTGATTCACTGGATAGAGCCTGGGGTGTGAGTTGCCTTTAACAAAGTGTGAGGTCCAGCTGAGATCTCATACCTAGAAAGCCTGACCTTTGCACGGATGCAGCGCCATTTTGCTCTTCAAAACTCTTTGATTTCACACTTGGCTCCTCAGGCTGTTTCTCTAAGACATTTTCAGCCAATGAACCAAATGGCTGACTCCTTGCAAGAAATCTGATCAGTGGCAAGAATAATAAGGGAAGCCTCAGCTTCTGACTTGACTTGGGGCTTCATAGAAGTGACCCCCTTTTTCAGTGAGACTGAGTAATTTGATTGAGGAGACCTGTCCTCCACTTACTAGAGGAATCCTTCTCAGTCCAAAACTGTTGTTTCTTCAAGGGTGAGAAGAAAGATTCAGCCCAAGAGGAACTTTGCCTCACTGACCTGATTCTTCACTCACGGTGAAGAGTTTTCCTGACCCCACAAAGATCTCTTCACCTGCTTGACTGTGCCTGAAATTTCTTTTCTCTACAAGTCCTTTCATGGACTATTAGAGATAAAAGGCAAATGCCTAATGAAGAGATACACTGACTGAAACGCATCCATACCAGGGTAATAGACAATTAATCAACAAGCCTAAGTGACTGATTTAAGGGAAGCAATTCGGTCTTTGGAGTGGTTGATGAGGTGGAGAGAGGCCTGCATGGAGCAGGAAGACCTCAATGAATCTTTTTTAGGAAGAGGAAGATGGAGACTTTAAAGGTAAATGTCATTTATTCTACTCAAGAATATGACTTGTGATATAGCGCTGTTAGCTCTATGCACATTGCTGTACATCAGATCTCTAGAACTTTTTTCATCTTGCATGATTGCAACTGTCTATCCACTGAACACTGGAAACATTTTTAAAAAGTCTTTAATAACAATGTATGTTCTTAAGGAGGTAAGCTATTTTCTTCAAGTCTTAATTTCAGTACAAGAACAGCATAATATTTAACATGGTATAGCCCTTGTTATGTGCCAAGTACTGTTCTTAGTGCTTGTTATATTTTTTTACAGTTATTACAAGACATTGGCTCTATTCCCTGTGTCATACAATACATCCTTGTAGCCCATCTTATACCTGAAAGCTTGTATCCCCCACCTCCATCCCCTATATCACCACTCCCCCCTTTAGGGAAAGTCCTCTTTGTCATTCTCTTTTGTGATCCCGTGGACAGTAGCCCACTAGGCTCCTCTGTCCATGGGATTTCCCAGGCAAGAATACTGGAGTAGGTTGCCATTTCCTTCTCCAGGGGATCTTCCCAACCCATCGACTGAACCCAAGTCTCCTGCGTTGCAGGCAGATTCTTTACCATCTGAGCCACCAGCATGCTTTTAATATAATATCTTCTCCAGGGGATCTTCCTGAACCAAGGATTGAATCTGAGTCTCTTGCATCTCTTGCTTGGGCAGGCAGGTTCTTTACCAACTGATACCAACTGAGATACTCCTATAGTATCTCAGTCTGATAAAAAAAAAAAAGTGCAAAACTTCTATTGGGGGAAAAGTAAAACTGTACTGAGAGGCAAAGCCTCCCTTTTATATTTCAGATTTAGAACCGATTATCACATATTTCAAATGAATGAATCTGAGATAATGAATTTAACATAAAGAACAATATTTAAGAACAATATTTAAAAGAATTGTAAGATGTTCTGGGGGCTTCCTTGGGGGCTCAGATGGTAAAGAATCCACCTGCAATTCAGGAGACCAAGATTCGATCCCTAGGTTGGGACGATCCCCTGGAGAAGGAAATGGCAACCCACTCCAGTATTTTGCCTGGAGAATTCCATGGACAGAGGAGCCTGGCGGGCTACAGTCTGTGGCATTGCAAAGAGTCAGGCACATTGTAAATATGAATGTTCATTAAAATAGACATACAAACATGACATATTTCTCATAGCTCTGATATTTTACTGCTTGTGGTAAAAACTGCCCTGATTTTTCTTACTGAGATGCTTTTCTTAGCTTGGGCTGTCATAGTACTCTTAATGTTTCTGCCCTAGATCCAGGCATCCTAGTAAAAGAGTCAGTGAATGGAATGATTATAACCTGAAATCAGTCTTTATCCAGGAAGCATACCAATGGGTTGCTGATGGACCTTCAACTAGAATAGGCACTTTCTCCTTTGTTGGTTGACTTTAGCCCAACTCTCTGGAGCCACAAATACACACAAGAAAGTATCAGGCTTGCCCCTACCTACACAAAGTGAACCATCACCATCATTTGAAGCACACTTCAAATCATATAAAAATGCTTACTCTAAGCACACTGTGTCTGCTGTTGACTTGGTTACATTTTCCAAATCAGTCGTGTGGGGTGGGAAACCTTCAACTCCGCAGTTTAAATTTAGATCAAGCTCCCATATCAAATTCTCACACTCCCTCTTTATTTTAACCTCCCAGAATAATGCTCTCTTTAATCCTTTGCTGTCCTTCCTGCTTATCTGCTTTCATTTTTCTTATATCCTAATCCACCTTATAAGATCCGTTTCAGGCTCCTATCCAGGCTAATGCTTTAGTCTCCTCCTGGCTCTCATCAATCTCCCCTCTTCTGGTCCTAACAGCTGGGATCCCCAAGCCCTCACTCTTAAGCTGAGTCCTACACTTAGGTTTGGGAACAACTCCCAGTCAGGTCTGGAGCAATTAAAAGAGCCCTAGGCCAGTATCTGGACAACTCCGCCTCAAGTTAGCCTGTCTGATGATGTCATTTGAACATTTGCCAAGCGTTTATTCCACGCTTACCTCTGCTACCATTCAGCCCCTACCATGCGCAAGGCGCTGTGTAAAGCAGTGGAGACCCAACAAATACCGAGACATCGTCCTTATCTTTTCAGTTTTGAAGTGAAGACAGGCAAGTTAACCCGCAGTCACAGTAGAGTGGTAAGTTCTATGACAAGATCAAGGGCAGAATACAGTGGGAGTCCCGAGCGGAGGCACCAGCATGGGAGTCTGGCATGGGTATAGGGGTCAGAAAAAACTTCCCAGAAGAGTTGGTTTCTGTACAAAGATCTGAAGGATGAGTAGGAGTTACTAAGCATGTAGGGAAGATGTGTTTATCTATCTGTCTATCTAGAGACAGGCCAGAGGCTAAGAACAGAATAGCATGCTCCAGGAACTCTAAGTAGCTCTGTCTGGCAATTTAATAGTAGTTAAGATCATGATCTCAAAGCTAGACTGCACAGGTTTGAATTCAGACTGATGCTGTCACCTTGGACAAGGCGCTTAATCTCTTTTTGCCTCAGTTTCCTCATCTGTAAAATAGAAATAATAATAGAACTTGCCTTAGAAGATTGTTCTAAGAAGTAATAGATAGGTATATGCACTTAGGATGATGCCAGGCATATCACATAGTTATAAAGGTTGCTATTATTTAGCCATAGTATGAAATGAAAGATTGTGAGTGGCCAAAGAAAACTCTTGTATACCATGGTAAGAAGTTTGGACTTTAAAAACACTTACTGAGCCACTGTTGCCCTCAGGATAAACAGGGAAATTATGCATCTTTAAACAGATCACTCTGCTGTAGTGCACACATCTGTCTGGAGGGA